TGAAAAAAACCAAATTTTTTGTAGAAAATCACTAGTTTGTGTTAAAGTAACCACCCTATATATATATATATATATATATATATATATAGGGTGGTTACTTTAACACAAACTAGTGATTTTCTACAAAAAATTTGGTTTTTTTCAAATATTATAAAATTGTGAATTGATTTTATTTACAATATTATCACCTTATTCCTTATTTTGTGTTTCGATAATTTTTTATTAATTTTTAAGAAAAAACAATATCTTTTTAAATTTGAGAATAAAAATATGGAACATTTATTTTAAATATGTTTATAGTTTGGGTATATGGAAAAAAGTATGAAGATTATTATTAAGAATATAAGATTATTAAATCATTTTATAATGTATGAAAAAACTAAAATCTTTGTAGATTACTAGTTAGAATTACTGATTTGTGATCTAGGAATCACCTTGTGTACAGTATGTTTTTCTCAAATAGTTACAAAATATTTTAGCTGAATGGACTTCAATTAAAATTTAAATGTTTAAGAAGATCTCAGATTACTAAAATACACATTTTAGGTCAATTTTCTTAAATTGTATATTTTGAGATGTGTGTATAATCAATAAAATCTTACATTATCATCTTAGATAGAAACACTTATTTTTAGCATTCAATTTGAATTGTCCTATTTTTTTTTTTTTTTAAGCAATTCTAACTTGTAATTTTTAATTATGAGTTATAGTAGTATAAAGTTTAAAAAAATGTGAATTTGAGGTTATAAATTATTCATTAATTTATGCTATTTTTAATGGTTATTTATTTAATAATACAATGGCATGACAGTGATTATGTACTGAGTGAAATTTGATGGGTGGGGAAGGGTATAATTTCTCTTAATAAGTTAATATTTCACTGGAGAAATTATATCCTCTGTCCCAGGGAAAATATCACGAGTGTTAATTTTCCCAATTACAATCATACTATGTATCAAAAAAATATAAAATTTGTATGTAAATATATAAAACCTTTATTAAATTACTGTTTTATGATGAAAACATATTAGTAAAGATAACCTTAAAATTATATAAAAAGCATTTTAAATTTGTTTAAAAAATCATATTTTTTTATTGGGGACCTAAATAGCACTAAATAACAAAGAATATTAAGATCCTTATTTTATTTTTAGTGTTTCATACATTGATGTCATAAATAACAAATTATTTTAAGGAATAGATTATTAATTAATCTGTTAAACCTTAAACATTTGTTTTTGCTTGTTTGAAAACTTACATTGCTCTCTTTAATATCCAAAATGTCATTATAATAGAATCATCGATTATATTTTCTTAAGGACTTCCACGACACATATGATATACAACATACATATTAGCTTTCTGAGTATCTAAACATAAAATAATAAAAAATATCAACATGCACCTGAATTATATTTAATAAAGTTGGGAGTTTAGGTTCTTTTAAATTAAGTCGAGGAGAGTTCAAATATTGAGCACTACAGTTTAAGAGTAGCAAAACAAAAATTAATAGATTCGGAAAACTTAATCAACTCTAATATTTTATAACATTATTACACTTGATGGTTTTTTTTAACATGTTTATAGAGAAATTTGCTGACCAACTTAAAATGTTGATAATTGATTCGAAATGTGTGTTAACTTCCTAAGAAAACTAATTTCAATCTATATCTATCCAGTTAAAGTATTTTGTATTTTTATATGAGTGAAACACACTGTATTAATAAGTGACCAATGTACTTATAAATCATTTTATTATTTGAATTAATTTGGATTTAAAAATTTGTAAAATTTGTTTAAAAATATATTTTTTCATTTTTAGATGTTTAATTTTAATTAATATATGTATAATTTATTATTATAGATATTAAGACTTGACAGATTAATTATTAATAACGATTATTAGTTTTTTAATAAAATGTTGTTATTCTCAATTTCGTTTAAACATTTAAAGTTTCCACACATAACTATAATATTATTTTTATATATTTTTAAAAAAATATTAGAACTTAAAATGTCAATGCAAGAATAATATTAACTAACATTTAATAATCTTATATTTATTTAATACATTGCATTATAAAGAATTATAAAAAAAATTCACACTCATATATGTACCTAAAATTTTAAATATCAAAATTTATTAGAGTATATTGATTTTTATTCAGTTCAATTATTATGTATCAAATATAAGAATTAAGGATATTTTTCATTACATTCAGTTTAAAATAATTTATACCTACTGTGTATAAAAGTGTCTAGAGTTTCATACTAATGTAATGTTATAAAAAATAAATAATATAATGATTGCTCAATTCATTTGAAGATTAAAAAAAAAAAATATGTGACTTTGAAAAGAAAATAAATATGAAAGAGAAACTTTTTCTTTTAGCACTGAACATCATCAAAGTCAATTATATTTGGAATTTAATAATGAATAATAAATTAAAAATCATTCTTCATTTTTTTTAAATAATATTCTATACAGTACTATCCCAGTATCCTCACTAATATACTAAATTTTAAAATATAGCTGGTTTTATCCATAGATCTTATACTGATAAATATACTATAAATTACCAAATTGTTCATGTATAGTGAAAGTAAAAAAAAAAAACATTTTAAATTTGGAACTTGAATATTATTATGAATTTATGACAGTGTTAAATAAACCTGATTGACTTGAATCAATGTCTTTATTCAATATTGATGTATTTTGCAAAGGATTTAAGAAGGTACAATGAAGAAGGGTGAGGAAATTAATGACAACAAACTAAATACAAATTTTTTTTGTCCACTTTTTAACCTTTTTCAATTAAATTTAAACTTGACAATATAAGGTGAGTTGGCTATACTGCTTATCTATATCCACATAGCCAAACCTTCTTTACATATGACTGTGGATTGAAGTTTTAAACTGAAGGGTTGAAGATGAAAATTAAATTGGTCACATTTTTATATGATTCCTCAGGTCAATTATAATTAGGTTCATATAATTAAATCCAGTGGTGTTCCTATTAATTTATTAGAGTATACTATAATAGCCTGTGCCTTACATAAGGTATTTGATATATTTTGTATGGTTTATACTGTTTATAGGAAAGTAGTTAAATATATAAATTATTCAAAAATTTTAATTTAATTACCAAAATAACACTAAAAGTTAAAAAAAAAAGGCTATTACTGCATATAACTATGTATATTTCTAATCTGCTAATTTAGGATGAAAGATTTATATTGGTTATATAATATAAAGAGTAATTTTATTTTAATCTATACACATTGATGAACCACTGCTAATACAAAACAATTCTAAACAGAGTATTATTAGTCGTATTCATCTACTATTGCAAAGGTAACGCCATACAATAAATAAAATGAGGTAGCTTAGAAATATACAAAAATTGATAGTTTCTCTGATTTATTAAGAAAACTACAAAGAAAATCAAATATGGCCTCCACAATGCAACTAGATTAAAAATGCTACAAGCAAATTCCTATAAAGTTTTTAGTTGGGGCAAGATTTCTATTAGAAAAGTTATTTACACACATCATTGTAAAACCAATACATTTCTCACTTCACTTAAAATCTTAAAAAAAAAATGTAAATTTTTTTAGTTATAATTACTGAAATAATTATAGTTTTTAATTTTTATTACTATTACTGTTATATTGATATGAGTGGTATGCACATTGAACAGAAATTGTCCATTATACATAATACCTAATATTATATCATAACTAATTTTAAAAAAAAAAACTAATTGATTTTTTTACAATGCTGAGAGTATTTAGCGTATATGTAGTATATTCTATGGAAACACCACTGATTATAGCAGAAAATCCATGTTCACAATTAAATGTTGTTGGAAGTATGTATTCGACACTTTGGTGAGATTAGAAGAGACATATTTTGTCTTAATAGGAAATGTATATTCCAAGTATAGAACAAAATTGTTTCTTGGCGTTTGGTAATTTCTGAGACACTAGATAAGAGTATATGTTATATGCAGTACCTATATAAATAAATTGTTAAAAAAGCTCGAGAGAATATGTAGTATACCTTATGTGTATATTTTTGGTTTCCAAAGCAAAAGGCAGGGCTCAAAGGGCTAAAAGGAAAATTTACTATAAAATATATATTTACCTAGATATCTATATGGCTAAATATCGAACTTCATAATTTATTACACTGTACAGTAATGTATTGCATTAAATTTATGTACGATTGTAAAATATTAAGACAGCTTTTGATAATAGGTTTTTATTAAAATAGCAGGTATACTGAAATATTGTTCATGTAGCGAGAGGGCACTTGCCCACCTGAAATCTGAATATGTACTTAGACATTAAAGAAGATAATATTATTATTTTTTTTTTAAATTTAAATTTAGAATTATCTACAGTAGGTATGTTTTATAATCTCATATCACGTAGTTATTGAACAACAGACATGTAAAGTATTCAGAATATTTTTTTAAGTATTCTGAAACTTTTTAAAAATACTTTGTTTTGGAACTATTCATTAGTGAAATCATAAGTTTTAAATTTTATAACTAAAAAAAAAAACTCATTTTAGTGTATTTTACTAAAAGATACATATTATTTTTCTCGAAAAATACTTTGTTATTAAAAATGGTCAGATTTCCAAAATACCACTGAACCAAATACACAACTAAAAATGTATTTAGTCTATTGTAAAATACTCTCCGCACCTATTATTATTGGTTTTCCATTCCAAAAGAACTTATTTTTAGTCAGTTACCACCACACAGTAGCATACCTGCCTACAGTATCAATTATTTTTTTCATATATGACAATCCTAAAATATCCTTAATAATTTTTGCAGTTCTCATTTAGTAATATTTTAAAAATTGTATTGTTGTAAAATTATTCGAATACATATTCAGATCACTTTTTTTTTGTATATATGTAAGTGTTTATTCTGAATACTTTATATATGTAGTTTTAGCAAATATATACCGAGCTAACATTTTATAATGTTCTATTTAAAAACCCGTATGCTCGATTACTTGAGTAGAAAACACAAAATGTGTAAAGCCAATTTGTTCTAAAAATGTTTTGTTTATTTTTCTAAAGATAGAAGTCTATAATTAAACAAATTTATTCTAGGAATAATATTCTAATATGATAATAATTAATAATTACATCATACTGTAATAAAAAAAAAAAAAAGCAAATGCCGCTGTATTATAACCATTTGGCATTATTAGGCCAATAATTAGTCAAAGTATATTTAATAGTGGCATACTTCGAACGCGAGGAGGGATAGAAGAAGCTGGAATCTGAATATAATATATTATATACTAAATTTTAAAACATATTTTCAGGTAGAAATTGTGGTGAAATACTTACTCTTTAAAACAATAAATCTGTTCTTAGTTATTACAAAAAACGATGTCATAATTACCCCACTCCCCGGTGGACTAAAATTTTAAATTTCAACTATTAATTAAGTTGTATGGAATATAGATTAAATTATAATATTTAGTAATTTATTTATTTTATTTTCATTCTCTTTTAAATAGGTAACTACTTACCTTTATAAAACAAGTACCTATCTATGACTGCTATGGGTTTACTATTGTTATAGGCAAGGTGTATTAATACACTTTGATTGTAGGTAGAAAGTTGGGAAGGTAGGTTTTACATAGTTATTTATTTTATTTCTGTATTCACTGATAAATAATTTCTAATAAAAAATGATTCTATATTAAACGCACGGTGTGTCAACTGACTGTGAAGACACGCACATTGCACGTTTTAACTATCAACAAATCACCGGTTTTTAAGTTTATATATAATGATTATGTACGATAAGAATATTCTGGGAAGTTTCTGATTCTATAAATATATTGAGATAGACTCATAGCATGTTATTCCGCAAAAAAAATGAAATCGAAAAGTGTTACATAGCACGTTATTCTCGCCGACACTTCATTTGTCAATCTATCATTACCAAATTTAAAATAAAATACTAAACAATAATGTATTTAATTGTATAAACTCAATAACTCGATTGTTAATAAATTTATGAAAATTATTTTCTATTTAGTTAATATTTATTGTATTAATTTACATATTTTTTTTACATCATATCTATACTGTAGATAAGTGATGTTAACAGGTAATTATTTTTAATTTTAAATTATTATCAAAGGTTTTCTTGAATAGCAGAATCTGGATAATCAATAACTTTCCGAGTTCTCTGTTTTATAACATTGTGTTGTCTTTGATAAATTCTTAAAATGCCCTTTACAGTAATATAAACTAATCCACCCTAAAAAAACATATACATCTTTATGAATAAAACTGCACGTGCCAAAACATATTTTTTAATAAATTTGATTATAAGTGTTCTATTAATAACTAGGGAAGTCATTTTTCTACATTTTAAAATAGAGCAAAGACTTAATTTTACATTGTACATTGTTTGATTAAGATTTGTTTATTTAGTCAACAATTATAGAAATGTACCTATTCAAAAATATGTTGTACATTAAACAGATGAAGTATCAAATAAAGAACATTACTTAGCGTTTTATTTAAAAAACTCACCAAAAGTGTTTTTTGAAAATTTGAATAAGAACTGTTGTCAAATAAAAAATTACCAACTATGGTAGCTGTAGTTGGTAATAAAAGTGCTGCACAAAGGGTAGTTGTTGGGTTAATAACTGAATTAAATTGAATTGAAGTAGTTACATTGACAGGTTCACGTCTAAAAACAAAAATACATAAATAAGTATAAGTTTTATTATTAATATTTACATAATGTAAACAGTTAATAATTACAAAAATGAAGGCATGATCGTTCTCAATAAAGGTAATTGAGAAGTAAATCTTTGCATCACTAAAAGTAAAGTTTCTTCCCAGTTAATTGTTTTGCCTAAAATAAGACTAAGTGGTATGGCTGGCAATATCAAAAGCAACATGTATGGATCTGTATCCTC